ATACAGTGTCTTATACACAAGAGACAATGAATTACTTTTTACCAAGCATGTCAGAATGCTGAACAGTAGATCTGACCTCAGGCTGTGAATTCAGATCCCAGCTGGGCACTAACTTACAAAATACGTGAGAGTGACAACAAAGGAGATTCCCATCCCAAATGGGAAAGGAAAGAGGCAGACAGTGTACCATCTGAGAGTTAAACCAGGCAGGAATCATGGGATCACCTTAAAAATCTACCATAAATGTGATATTGGTATTGAGGTTACTGTTTAAGAACCCTTATATTTTAGAGCTAAATACTGAAATATTTGCAATGAAAGTACATGTCTATCTGGGATTTGCTTCAAAATAATCTAGAGGGGAGGGGAAGTGGGTAGAGGTATAAATGATTGGCCATGAGTTGAAAATTGTTGACCCTGGGTGATAGGTTCATGGGAGCTCATTATATTATTCTCTCTACTTTGTATATGCTTGAAATTTTCATAATGAAATTAAAAATAAAAAGCATGCTCGTTAGTTATTTGTTGCTACAAAAATAATTACCTCACAACTTAGTGACTTAAAACAACAAATGTTTATTATCTCAGTTTCTGTGGGTCAGGAATCTGACAGACAGCTTAGCTGGTTGCCTCTGGCTCAGGGTCTCACAAGGCTGCAGTCAAGGTGTCAGGGCTGCAGGCATCTGAGGCTTGATGGGCTGGAGGATCTGCTTCCAAGCTCATTCTTATGGCTCTTGGTCACAAACCTCAGTTCCCTGCTACATAGACATTTCTTTAAGACTGCTCACAATGGGCAGCTGGCTTCTCAAAGAGCGAGTGATGAGAAAGAAAAAGAAAGAAGAAAAAGAAAGGGAAAGACACACAAAAGTCGACTAAAACAGAAGATGTAGTCTTTTATAACCTCATCTCAGAAGTTGGACATACCATTACCTCTGAATATTCTATTGGTCACACAGACCAACCAAAGTGCAATGTGGAGGGGACTGCACAAGGGTCTGAACAGCAGAAGGTGGAGATCCCTGAGAGCCATTGGGAGTCAGGCTACGATAGTGCATAAGGCAAAAATTGAGTAATGTCAAACATGTCCTTGGAAATCCTGTAAATAACCTATAAAACATGGTAGACAGTTTTACCAGCGCACAAGCCCAACACTGCCAGTTTTTTCTCCAGTGCTGAAGCACATCACTGTTTCGCTGAGTGCTAGGTAAAGCTGTTGGCTTGAATTAGGACCATGGTTGTTTCAAAATAAATATATTTAAACACTGAAATCACATTTGGCTCTGCCTTGAGCTTGTGTAGTTAAATTCAAGTAAATTAAATGCAGTATGATGGGATTCTAATGCATTGTTAAAGTGGGGAATCTTTTCATGTTCTGATGACATCTGCCATTTAGATCAATTGTGCTGACTTCTTGTTTTAGCTCCATAGTTACAAAGCAGCTTTCTGATTATAATATGGCTTCCCAGATAGATGTGCAAATGAGAAAATGCTCTGATCTAATCCATTCCATGATTGTATTTCTCTTGTAAAATAAAAAAATTGGTATTCTGGCTTTATACATCAGTCTCTGTGTGCTAGGTTAATGTGAATCTGTACCTGAGAGATAGATTCACTCTCAGTACATTTACATATAGGCTTTTGAGCCTGCACCCCTGAGCCCCTAGACTGTGATCAATTCATCTAACTAATGCCGCCTGAGGGGGAACCATCTGAGTGGCCCAAAAATCTTCCCCAGGTGTGGCAGCTATATTTACTGTACACAGAGAATATCCATGAGCTCCCCTACACTTCTCAGTCCCTTTGCTATTAGATGGGGGTATGTGACCAGTTTTGGCCAATAGGCTGTGAGCAGAATTGACACCTATCACTTCTGAGCCAAAAACATAGTGAGATTTCCATGCACTCTTTCCTTCAGCTGCAGCAGCCATGGAAATCACATGTTGAGAAGGCAGAATGCAAAGTCAGCCTGGACTCCTTCATGACGATGAGGAACAGAACCCCTCCTGACCTGTGCTAGACAAGTAATATGAATACAAATAAAAGTTTGTTGTATTAAGCCACTGCGATTTTGTGGATATTTCCTATATTAGCATAACCCATTCTAATTTAATACACCAGGGGATGTTGACTTTGCTGGGAGTACGTTTTTCAATTAATGGCAATGTTACACTTGGGTGCTGGGATATATCTCCCACTCTCTCCTTCCACATTCTCCTACGTCCCTCTTAGTAAGATTAGATAGGCAAGAAGTGGGCAGAAGCAGAAGAGGCAAGGAAAAACCTAGCAAGACTAGGGTTTTTAAAGCGCCCTCAAACCTGCCCTATTCATATTAGCAGAAAACCCACTCTATACAGTATGCTAATTCTAGAGGCTGTTTGCTTCTGCTACCCAAAGAAGTTATTTCATTTCCTCTTGTTTATCTATTCAGGTGTGCCTGCCCTGCCCCCACCCCTGACCCTGCTTCTCTGGTGGCCACTTCTTGAGCACTATGGACACTCAGTACTCTTCAGCAGGCTGACCAAGTAAACACAGTAAACGTAATCAGTTGCCCTGACTATTCTGACTCAACTGTCCATTGCTAAATGGACAATTTTTAAAATCATCTGTAAGAATAAATATAGGGTTTGGAAATATAAGATGAAAAGCCTTCAAATTGCAACTTTCATGTAAAAAAGAATTCCGAGTCACCTCAGAGACTTGTTTCCCCCAAATAGCTATTAAGAATTTAGCATATATTTGAGAGAGAAAATTCAGACCCTTTCAACTATGCGTTTGTATAAAATCAATCATACGATTCAATCCTAGGTTCGGAAAACCCTGCACTTTGTGAAAACCCTCCAGTGATTCTCACCCTTGGTGTCAGCACCTAATGAGTTGTGATGAGCTGTGCTGTGCTGTGCATGGCAGGTCATTGCTTACTCGATAAGTTAAAGCACTAAAGCTAGCAAATTATTTTCTTCATTGCAAATTAGGGGAAATACAAGATTACTGCTATAATAAGTTCACTCTCACATGCCTTAGCAAAAATAAATGTAGAAAACACAGTAGCATTAAAAAAAACAACAAATAAAAAAACAAACCTGGGACCCTACAGGAATTTCTAACTGATTAACTTGTAGTTTTTGAGGTGACTGAGAACTGCCATCAATGAGATCACCTTAAAGGAACACCCTTAATGACTTTGAAAAGTCCCCATCCCAAAGTCAATGATATTCAATATTATAGACTTAACTGAATTTAAAATTATGTTAACAGGTGTGAGGTGGTATCTCCTTGTGATTTTGATTTGTATTTCCCTAATAGCTAGTGAAGTTGAGCATCTTTTCATAGATGCTCTGTTGGCCATTTATATGTCCTCTTCAGAGAAATATCTGTTTAGGTCCTCTGTCCATTTTTTAATTGGATTGTTTTGTCATCGTTGTTGACTATTTTCAACAAGACAAGTAATAACAAGAGTTGGAGAGGTTATGAGGGAGAAAGGAACCGTCATATACTGCTGGTGGGAATGTAAATTTGTACAGCCACTAAGGAAAACAGTATGGAGGTTACTCAAAAAATTGAGAATTGAATTACCATATGATCCATCAATCCCTCTTCTGGGTATCTACCCCCAAACTTTGAAAACACTTATCTATAAAGATATGTATACCCCAATATTCGCTGCGGCATTATTCATAGTGGCCAAGACATGGAAACAACCTTCGATAGATGACTGGATAAAGAAGATGTACTACATACATACAGTGGAATATTACTTAGCCAAGAAAAGATGAAATACTGCCATTTACAACAACATGAATGGATCTTGAGATTATGCTCAACAAAATAAGACAGAAAAAGTTGAGAACCATATGATTTCATTCGTGTGGGATACAAAACTGAAAGCAACAAACAAACAAGACAAACAAAAACTCAGAGAGACCGACAACTGTTTACTCAGCAAGAGAAAGGGGGTGGGAGGAAGGTAGATAAGGGTAAAGGGAGTCAAATATATGGTGACGAAAGGAAATTTGACTTTGGGTGATAAACACAAAGTGCAATATACAAATGATGTATTATTGAATTGTACGCTTGAAACCTATATAATATTATTAACCGATGTCACCCCAATAAATTTAATTAAAAAAAATAAAGTTACATTAAAACTCATTTTACTAAGAGAATCCCTTTCAAGGGTATTACTCAAAAGCTATATATCAAGATAAACATATTACTTTTAGTGTTCAATTTTACTACCAAACTAATATATGATGTATTATTGAATTGTACGCTTGAAACCTATATAATATTATTAACCGATGTCACCCCAATAAATTTAATTAAAAAAAATAAAGTTACATTAAAACTCATTTTACTAAGAGAATCCCTTTCAAGGGTATTACTCAAAAGCTATATATCAAGATAAACATATTACTTTTAGTGTTCAATTTTACTACCAAACTAATATACATACTTTTTTTTTTAATTTCTGGATTTTTTAGTTATTTAGTTATATGTCCTGCTTTTTAGTTATTAAACATGAGTGTGTTTCAATAAAGGAAATAATTTTTCAATATAATAAAATTATTCCCAATCTTATTTTTCAATATAATAAAATTATTTTTCAATATAATAAAATTATTCCCAATCTTATTCCCCATAAACTGTTTTCACTTGTCTTCTTGATACATCCTGTTCATACAAATTCATATTATCCATAGACAGTGTAGCATTGCTAACATTTAATAGTCTACTGTAATTTCTTTCCTTAGTATTATATCATGAAATATTTTTCTACATTTCCACAGTTAATGGGTCTTTTAAATGGCTGCAAAATATTTTATCAGATACACCTAAGTTTAAATGGTTTGATCCTATTTCTCATAAATTTGTTCCTCATTTTGTGATTAATAGTCATGATTAAAGGTGACAACATCATTTTTTGTTACTGGTTACTTAGGTTTCAAATATACTCACAGATAGAGCCAAAACTCCATTAGTTAATTAATCAGCACACGATATTAAATTTCCATTAATATGATTTAATTTTTCTATTTCTAAGTGAGTATTAAGTGGATTACTGTGCACGTTTGTTAAAGGCAGCCCTTTGTGTTTATTTTTATGCAGAAAATACTTAGTCATTCAAGATAGCAGCACTGCAGCACAACCATCTCTAGGCTGTCAGCGTGCCCTCTAAAACAACAGTAGTGTCTCCCTTAATGTCCACTCGTCCATCCGGACGCAGTGAAATCTTCAATTCTCCTCTTCTGCAGGAACACTGCAAGGCTAAAGAAAACATAAAACAAGGCACAGATTAATAGTTTTCACCTTTTTAAATTAACAGAACATATTGAGAGACCTCTTATTATAAGCTTTAAATCTTCCCAGGTCCATTTAAAGAATAAATTCCTTCATCTGTCCATGGTGCTGCCCATCCCATCCCATTCTCCTGAAGACCGAGGGGCTACAAACGCAGTTTGATCCACCCAGCTCTGTCTAGTAGCAAGCAAGGATATGTGAAAAGATAAGAAGAATGAACTAGATGTGTAAGAAGATAAAGAGGGGTGGTCTTGGCCCTCCTAAGAAGGCCCCATCTTCCCAGGTCTGAATAGGACAAAGGGAGTTTTTTCACTCATTGTGGTTGTCAAGCAGCCACACATGTCAGGCAAACAAGAGGCACAGCCTTTACCTTCCTGGAGCTTAGGTTCACCAAAGGAAGAGAAGAGCCACCCTGCTATCCCGAAACCAGGTCACAGAGGCCTAACCCTCCCACTAAGTAAGACCTCTACTCTTTAGGGTCAGACTCCTATTTGAATTATTAGGACTTCATGGCTTCCATTGGCTGAGATCTATTTTCTGTGCCTCTAAGCAATTGTTAATCATCAGGGGACTTGGTTCGAAAGCAATTTGTTTCAATACAGTGACTAGCAATAGCAGTAAGAAACCTTGGTGACCATCCAGTCTCAATTTGTCACATCACAAATAACCTCTCTGGGCCAAAGTTATTCAGCTAGTTAATTTTATTCAACAAACTTTTATTGGGTACTTAGTATACTAGAAGTGTGTCTCTGTGTTGATAGGGACAAAGGAAAGGTGGAAGATGCTAGGAATAGAGGATATTTTGAGTGGAGGGTTCAAGGTAAAGGAATTTAAAAACCTTTCATTTTTCACATGGGTGAGACATAACATTTTATTATATCTTCAATTGGATAGTATCTATGAGAAGGAATACTAGCTTAAGGTTAAGTAAATTATTTTTTAATTTGAAAAAGAGCTGTCCTACCATGCATGTCTTTCTTCCCCAGTTGCTGGGACCAGTAGCTGCTGAGAACAGTATGTGCAGACCCTTACAAGAAATAAAAAGTTATGAGACAATACCAAAGAAAACAGACAACTTCGTGGTAAATTTATAAGCTAATATAGTCAACTATCTAGTTTGACTAAACCTTAGACGACTTAGTCATTATATTGGCATGGCCACAGCAGAGTGTGGAATTAAGAATGGAGACAGAAAGAAAGACATAGAATTTATGGATAAGCTCCTCCAAATGATCTATTTACTATGTGCTAAACTTTGTGAAGGCTGAATTAAACTGCAGGTTTTAATTCTTGTCCTGCCTACTAGTTCATTGTCACTCATGGTAGGAAAATCAAGGCCTTCACATAAGTCTTTCTACATCTTTCAAGGGGAAATACTTGCTTCTTCCTAGGACGCACATGCAAGGAAAGGTGGGAACTCTAACAAAATGCCAAATTTTCCACCAAGCACATATTCCCAGACCTTTGGTGCCAAAAGAACTGTCAGTGAGTTATTTTTTTTCACATGAATGATCGCAGGTTTAGATGAGCGAATAGATATTAAAATGAAGAAACAAAATATAAAGTAATAATGACAGAAAAGTCTTTGGGAGGAAAAAAGGATGGGTTTGAAAAGGCCCCTCCTTCAGGAAAACTTACTAAATGTTATGGGAGGTCCACATAGAGTGACCTATCCCAGCTTGCCTGAGTCTGTCCTGGTTTTAGCACTGACAGTCTTGTATGCTGAGAAATCCATCAGTCTCAAGCAAACTGAGATAGTTTGTCATCCCTGACCAAAGACCTTCCTACTCTAGAAAAGCATTATTACAATGGGGAAAAAATTGCCCTCTGTGCCAGTTAAAATCCTTGTAAAGCAGCTGTGCATGTATAAATCTGCTCAAAACTTCATTTTTATGAGGGAGGGTTGAGTTGGACTGTTTGGATGTGTTGGGCATTTCCCTGAGTCTTTAAAAGTACCTGCCTGCTGAGCTTTGAATTTCACGTTTGTTCCTCAGAGAGTAACTAAGTCAAGTTCCTGAAACCATCCTGGCCCCTGTTCTGACATCTGACCAGAACAGGAGCCTGGAAGTATCTGCCCAGCCTCCAGCCCTGGTCACCATCCCATCCTCCAGCTTCCTCCATCTAGTATTGCTCCCTTTTGCTGCTCAGCCCACTCTTTTCAAAGACAAAAGTAAGAGGCTTCACATTCTTGCCCATCTTTGATTTCATCCCTCTGCTTTCTGGCTGGTAGAAGATCTTGAATACCCCTGTTCCCGAGCCCATCCCACACACTTTGGAGGAAAGTTTGGGAAAGGCGAGGGGAGGAAAAGAAACACTATTCCCGTCCAGATTTCCCACCTGCAGCCCAGGAGTTTATCCTTCAAAACCAAAGCCTATCTAGATGTCAATGATCATGCAGGATGGCCACTGAAAAGGACAAAAGTTTTGGGAAATGTTGTGGACCTCCACCCTTGAATTTTGCAAATGGCTGATCTGGACGTGTTGGCTCAGGGAGCCAGTTTCATTGTTATCATTGAAATAGCTAATAGTTATTAGGCACTTATATGCCTAAGCACTTAACTTGCATTGGGTTTACATAACCCTATGAGGTAATATCCATATTTTATAGAGGAAGGAACATAAATTTTTTAAAGTTAAGTCACTTGCCCAAGGTCAACATCAAGGAAGCTAGGGAGCAAAGCCAGGCTAGGCTGTCTGACACTAAGGTTTAACCCTGCTATACTGCCTCCTTAATTCTGTGTTTTTCATATGAGACATCAGTGAAGGGATAAGGGAGGGGAAGACAGGGAAACAAAGACAGCTCAAAACCCAAGCAATCGGAAAGGTCACATGAAGGGCACTTAAACATCTATTTATTCTCCTCCTCCTCCACTGTTTAACCTTCCCCAGGACCCAAGTCAAAAAGTACCTGTTGGGGGGAGGGAAGGGGGATGGTAGACAGGTTATAGGGGGTCAAATATGTGGTAACAGAAAGAAATCTAACTATGAGATGTGAACAGATGCCTCACTCTTAAAATGTACAGCCAAAACTTATTGGATTTCGTTAACCAATGTCACCATGAAAATAATTAATTAAAAAAAATTTTAAGTACCTGTTACAGGATCTTCTGCCACACCATACCATGGTGAAAAATATCTGGAGTAAAAGTCAAATGCTTGGGCCTGCCCGCCAGCCTCTCCTTCTCCTTGAAGGGTGAGAATGAGTCCTTTCACTTTCCCTGTGTTCTCCACTTGCAGCAGATTCTGTGTGTTGACTTTCAGGTTCTCCAGAAATGACCTTGTTCATAAATGGGATGGATTAGGACAAACCCATTCCCCAGATACCCACTACACAGACGCTGTAAAGCAGGCCAGGGTGCGGCTTTGCCCAAACAGATCAGCAGGAGGAGAGGGAGGAGCATATGGAATATCTTCCTGCTGGAGAACAAAACTCTCTGGCTGCAAAAATCATGGTTTGACTAGATACAGCACAGCCAGACCAAGCCATAACTGTAAGTGTGGGTGCCTGGCCCTCCCCAAAGTGCTGACAAAGCCAAAAATCTTGTTTACCTGTCATAAGTATCACTGAGACGGACAAGGAGATTTCGGGTATCTGGAGAATAGCAGATGTCCTGGACCAGTGTGTCACCTATGGCAGTCTGTGGAAAGACCAAAAACTCAGGAATGTGCCCTGAGTCAAGTCCTTGATTCCCTGTACAGAAAACGACCTCTCGTGAGCATCTGCAGCATGCTAGGTGCACCCATCATTTCTAATCCCCAAGTTTTCATTTGGTTTCAGGGCTCAAGTGTTGCCCAAGGAAGGCCAGTTTCCTGGTAACCAAAAAGTCTTTAAGAGAGTTGAGCTTACCTTCTGAGAGCTGAAGACAGGCCTTGTTCACAAGTGTTAACGCGTGCCTCCACACATAACTCCTTCAAATGGGTATTGTCCCCACAGATCAGAAGACTTAGAGGGGCCCAGGGGCACACACACATCCCTCTGACCCAGGTCCAAGGGGCCCTGGAGTCAACACTCTGAATCCATCTATTGTCTTTAGAGATGGGGGGCCTTGTACCACCTCTTAGAGTTGTTGTAGAAATTAAATGAAATAATATATGTGGAGTTTCTGCAGCAGTATCTAGAATATTCTACATGGTAAGCACTTGGGTCTGGCAGTTTGATTTGAAGGGGGACTAGAGGATTCATCTTAATGCTGCTCTACTTGACAAGCACACTGCTTCGCTTACATCGTATGCTACAGATCAGTAACATAGCAACATTTTCTAAAGCATGGGTCCACAACACCCAGGCCACAGACCATTACAGGTTCATGGCCTGTCAGGAACCATGCCACACAGCAGGAGGTGAGTGGCAGGGAAGAGAGCAAAAACTTCATCTGTATTTGCAGCCACTCCCCAGTGCTAGCAGTACCACCTCAGCTCCACCTCAGATCATCAGGCATTAGATTCTCATAGGGGCACCAGTACCTGGTGCCAAAAAGGTTGGGGACCGCTGCTCTAAAGATACCTTGGGAACACCCAGGAAAAATGGCGTATATGATAGAGGCTCTGTTCATCCCTCTGGCGACCAAATCAAAATTGTGATGGAAACAAGGAGCAGCAGCAAGGAAAAATCGCCTGGGATCTAGATGAACAAGCCATAAAACTAGAGAGAAGTCCAAGAAGTCACCCTGGAATGACCGAAGGTAGGATGGGGCAAGGATGTGAGGACACGAGGCTGCTTGGTCTCGAGGCTGCTTGGTCTTCAGCAGCTGAGTGGGATGGAGGCTGCAGCAGCAGCAGATACTCCTTAAAGGCCACACCAGAAAGCCGTGTCTGTGAGCGGATTTTTGTGATGACGGACCTGCTCTCTCTGAAAGCAGTGCTGATTCGGTTGCGCGCAGGAGGTACCAGGGACTTTCAGGGAGACACTGTCGGAGTGAGGACCGAGGGGAGACTGGCTCTGTACAGAAGTGCCAGCGGTACCCATTGTTCCCTGTTGAGCCCTCCCTGCTCCCAGTGCACAGACACAGCGCGTGATCAAACTGGATAACCGAGGTCGCCCTGCCCAGAAGATTCCCTGAAACCCCACCTCCCCCAACTTGCGGCCACATCCAGGTATATCCTCAGCAAGTCAGGTGCTCCTTGCTGAGCAGTGCCTAGACTCACATTGGAGGCAAATGGCCTTGGTTTCTGGTGTGGCCTTTTAAGGCACCTATAAGCACAGCATCTGTGGATTGCTTGCTGAATCTTAACGGGTGGCCCCAGAAGGGCAGAGGCTTGGGCTAAATTTGACCTGCAGCTGAACCCCTCTCAGGACTGTGCCACTGGACACCTACTACACAAATCCACACTAATAAGACTGGGAGACTTAGGAGCTTTGCTTAATACATAGAAACAGACACCGAAAGGCAGCCAAAATGGGAAGACAAAGAAGCAGAAACCATATGAGAGAACAGAACAGAGATCCAAATATAATGGAGTCAAGTAATCTAACAGATGTAGAGTTCAAAACACTGGTTATAAAGATGCTCGATGACCTTTTGTGAAGCATAGATAAATTCAGTGAGAACTTCAACAAAGAGATAAAAACCATAAAAATGGAAATGGAAATTATAAAAGGGAACCAGTCAGAAATGAGGAACACATTATCTGAGATGAGAAGTATATTAAATGGAATAAACAAAGGAATAAATAAAGTGAATAAAGAAAAGGATAAAATGCCCTATCTAGAAGACAGGAAAGCCAAGGACACTCAATCAGAATGGCAAGAAAAAAGATGAGAAGACTATAAAAATAATTTAAGGAGGATATGGGACACTATCAAGGATCCAAATATCTGTCTGATTGGCATAACTGAAGAAAATCAAGATGTTGAACAGCTGTCTGAAGAAATAATGATGGAAAGCTTCCCTAACTTGGTGAAGGAATTGGACATAAAACCCCAGGAAGGTCAGAGAATTCCAC